TGACAGGCTCCATCCACGTGAACGGGCAGGAGCTACCGCGCGCCTCCACCTTCAAGTACCTGGGAACTACTCTTGGGGAAGAAGGCCTACTACAAACTGAGGTGGCAGCCAGGATCAATGCAGCGTGGGGCAAATGGAAGTCCGTCACGGGCGTCCTCTGTGACAAGAAGATGCCGATGCGCCTGAAGGCGAAAATCTATAACTCTGTGGTGCGCCCCGTGGCCATATACGGCGCAGAGTGCTGGCCGACGACCAAAGAAGTCGAAAGCAGACTCCAGATAATGGAGATGCGAATGCTCCGATGGTCGGTAGGCCTCACCCTACTCGACCGCGTCAGGAACGAAGAAGTGCGTAGACGGTTCAACGTCGTGCCCATCCCCACGGTCATGAGGCAGTCCCGGCTACGATGGTTCGGCCACGTGAGCCGCGCCAAGGAAGAATCCATCATCAAATCTGCAATGAAGGTGACTGTCGGAGGAGCGAGACCGCGTGGTAGACCTAAGCAACGCTGGATGGACACGATCAAGGCCGATCTAGAGATCGCGAAGGCAGACCCGACATACGTGGTAGACAGAGAGGTGTGGAAGCAGTACTTAAGGACATTAGCGGACCTCGCCAGAGCGCGAGACAAACGCTGAAGAAAAAGAAGAAGAAGAAGAAGAAGAACCTAGAAGTTAATCTTAATAGCAACTACCTCTATAGATAGACTATATTTAAAGGATGTTATAGAAGAGGAACAACTTTTACTGGGCAAGACTGAGGCTAATCTGAAAGGATTTAAAAATGACACATTAAAGAATGATATGGAAAAGGATGCTACATTGGATGGACAAAAGTAACCAATTGATGTCTTAATAATTAAACTAACAAACCAAAAGAGTGACTTGGATAGTTTTTCTATATTGGGATTACAAAAGAAACTTATTAAAAGTTTGAAAGATTTTATGAGAAAGAACAAAACATGAAAAAACCAAGTTCTAGAACACTGTTTGAAAGCTTGAAGGTTCAAATTTTTTAAAAGTAAAAATAAAGAATATAAAGTTGGCTTATTTGATCAAAGTTAAAAATAGACATTTCATTTTTTCTTTCTATTTTTCCTTTTTGTATCTTCTATTTTTTCTTTTTTAGTTTGTAATTTTATCTTTTAATTGCAATTTTTAGTAATACTATAAAAACGATGTACTGCTTCATAGATTAGCGTTTATTCTTTAAGCTTTTCACTGCTCTTTTTTTGAGGATTTTATCAACCCCATCCAGCCACAATTTTCTTGGCCTTCCTCTTCCTCCTTTTTATTTCCCGCATATATTTATTCAGAATTCAGTCCATTGTCTCCATTTAATCAACATATTTCTTCATACTAGTCACTTTTTATCTAACGCATTTTCATTCATTGCCCATTCATATACTTGTTTTAACTCACACACTGCTTAAATAACCTATTATCCACTGCATTCAGTTTATCAGGGAAGATGGAGATTTAATGTATCAGTCATCGGAATGGCTTGTGAAGGGATAACAACACCAAGAATCCTCCAAAAAGAAAGGAGAAAACCAAGCAATGGGTCAGAGAAGCAGAAGAATGTAACTTATATGTCCAATCCTGTTAGTGGGGTTACTTTGCAGTTACTGAATAAATTCCAGGGCCTCACTGTTGATGTTTTTAGACTCCTGGATGAAGAACAACAAGCTTCGGTGATTAAGAAAATCTCTGAAGATTCCGCAAAGGCTCTTGACAAATATTTCTTCCTGTAGATCCATGTGGAAACAAATGACACAGCCTTGAAGACTGATACATTGGACAGAAAGATAAAGTAAACACAGGCAAAAGGGGTATCTTATTTATTCCTCCCTCCAAATAATAGGATTCAGGAAGAAGAATTGGAAATAAACAATTGACTATGATACGGAGATAATGCCCATATAAATAGTTTAGGTTCTTTGATGAAATGCATTTCCGAAATGTGGAACTCCAAGCAAGACAGTCTCTCAAGAAAACTAGAAAGAATATATTTTGGAAAGTGCCCTGTAAATCTTTTTTTTTTTTTGGGGGGGGGGGGGGGTTAAAATAACCCTGGGGAGAAAGGGAGGGGGGAATGCTGGAAAACAATACAGTGTCAAGAATTGGAAGAATAGGCAAGATATGAAGGCATTAAAAAAGACCTTGTAAGCAGAAGAAGGAATAGTCCAGTTATATCATCCAAAGATTCCCTTGTAATACAAATTCACAGGGGATGGAAAATAAACAAGATCTACATGTCTTAATACAGAGAGACAAGCATGTTTTAGCAGAAATTATTGAAAAGAAGTTGGATGAATTTCATAAGTGGACTACAAGAACTTAATCAAGAAGAAGACAGGACAACAAGGAACAGGCATATATGAAGGAACAGCGCACATCTATATTAACTGCAATCAAAACAACTCTCACTAGCTTGCAATCTATATGTTCAAAAATTAAACGTCCACAATTAGGTTAAATCCAAAACATAATAAGGGCAGCAGTAAGAATTATATCAGTTCCAACTTTACAGTAGCAGAAACAAAGAAGCAGAAACTAAAAGCAGAAAGCAGGATGACATTGGGTATATCCTAGGGAAAGGCTCTCTGGAATGTATTGGAAACTGCAGCAGGAACTAAATGTACAGCTAGACTTGGGCCTTCTGCAGACTATTATAAGGTCTCCTTTAATCCAGATACAATTTTATATTTTAAATGTGCTATATAGTTTTGGATAAACTGCTGCACTTGGACCTTCTCACTATCCGTGGCATTGTTATAAAGCACATTATTTGGAAAGGCTGTTTATGGATTACTCCCCTCTTGCCTATTAAGGAAAACTCTTGTTTTAGAAAGGAATTTTAAAATGGTTGGTTACACTATATATCATTACAGTCATCAAGTAGACAGTGTAATGAATTGAAGGATTATTAATTAATGATTAGGTATAAATGGTGGTTTGTAACATTTCAACCAAATAATTTGGGCTTTAGAAAAGTTATGTTTCATTTTTTAAAATATTTAAAAATAAAACATACTGAAAGTTTAACATTTCAAATTTCATGTGGGTGCGTTCTTAATGTAGCTATTGTTGCGATGTCCAGCATGTAATTGAGAATGTTTAAATGTTCATGTTATCTTTTCACAATATTGGTAATATTTTGTGTATGATTGTTTCTCTGGAATTGGGTTCCCAGGTTTCTTGCCAAGCCTTCTGCTGTGCATGTTGACATTCAAGACAGTGGACCTCGCAGAGCTCAACCCAATGCAATTTTAGAAAAAGTGTTTACATCCATCACTAAAGTAAGTGAGAAGTTAAATTGCTCTGCAGTATTATTTTCAGGGGTGTGATTCTACCAGTTCTTTCCAACTCTGTAGAACCGGTAGCTCCGAAGAGCAGCAGGCATAGAACTGGTTCTGTGTCTGCTGCTGTTTTGGCCCAGCCCCCCGGGCTCTTACCTGACGTTTCTTTCTTGCTTTTTCAACCTCAGCTGCTTTGCACGGCACAGCTGTGGTTGAAAAAGCAGGGGGAAAGGGCTTTTCCAACCACTGCGCGGTTGCACTCAGTACTGCTCAGCTGTCCAGCCAGCTCAACAGGTTGTAAATTACACTCACACGACTTGTGCATGTGTGTGTGACGCTAATAGACAGAACCAGTAGTTATACAAGTTGGATCCCATCCCTGATTATTTTGCATTCTACTTTAGTTCCTTGGGACAATGCTATGGTATAAAATGGTCCAGTATTCTTTTCTTATCGTTGAATTGTTGTAGTATGGAAGAAGTATGTAAACTTTTAATTATTTAAAATTAAGTTGGTGTAAATCATACTTTTATATTTTAATTCATTCCTTTAATGTATTCTTTTGTTTTTGTTACTGCTTATTCCCTGCCCTCCCTTAACCTCAGATTCATATTGTATCTGTATGTTGTAAGAGACCAATAAATATTGGCAGAATTTAATAATTATTTTTAAACCAAGGATCTCTAGTTGCATTAGAGGGGTGGGTGGGTGGGTGGGAAGACAGTAAGTTTTTTGTGTAGGTGTCTTCCTGCTTATGTGGAACCTGCAAATACAGTCAGTGCTTCTTTTGCACTGACTACAGTCGTTATACAGTTTATGCTATATATCATAGCCAGTGCTGCCCTGTATTGTTTTTGCTTAGTAGAGAAATTGTTTACCCAGTACAAGAGACTTGAAACCCACCCAAAAAACAAAAAACCCATACCTCTGCCTGAGCTTTACATCCAGATTTTGCTGAGAAAATTGCAAGTACAATAATCAGAATGATTTACTTAGAGAAGTGTCTGTAATTGTGGAGAAAAGACTTCAATAGTACTGAATATATAGATAGTCCTCGATTTACAACCATTAGTTGGTGCCTGTTCAAAGTTAGAACAGCACCAAAAAAACACCGACTTATGACCATTTTTCACACTTACAACCGTTGCAGCATCCCCGTGATCATGTGATCAAAATTTGGATGCTTGGCAACTGGCTCATATTTATGATGGTTGCAGTGCTCCAGGTCATGTAATCACTTTTTGTGACCACCTAACACACAAAGTCAATGGGAAAGCCATATTCACTTTAAAATTGGGTTACTAACTTAACTATTGCAGTGATTCACTTATTGTGGCAAAAAAGGTCATAAAATAAACAGTTGTTCACTTAACAACTGTCTTGCTTAGCAACAGGAATTTTGGGCTCAATTGTCATGAGTTGTGGACTACCTGTACTTGAACATAGTTGGAATTTTTTCCAGTACATTTGTGCAAGGACTCTGTTTCTCAGACTGAGTATTTCCTGTTCGCCTTTTCTAGCAAAACCTACAGTTCCAGATAATATCCAGCAGGTTGCAGACTGAAAGACAATTGGGCAGAAATAGGAAGAACATATTTTAAAAATTTGATAAGCAAAAAAAGGTCTTTTTATATCTGTTTGATCATCTCCTAGTGTCCAGATGCAAGACGATTAGAAGGTTTGTCAAAACAACTAGATTGGGATGTCCGAAAAATCCAGCGCTGGTTTCGTCACCGGAGGAACCAGGATAAACCAAACACTTTTACAAAGTTCTGTGAGAGCATGTAGGTTTGTGTAGAATTCAAATCATAGTGTTTCAATTCTTTATTTTAGAAGTGAATATCAAACAGAATTTCAGGCTTTAGATTAGTAATGCATAGTATAAAAATAATATCCTTATAATATACCAGTAGGAATACCTAGAGTGGTAAAGATCTGCTCAACAGAAAGAACTGTTGACACAATCCTATATCTAGATCTCTTTCACATTGTCCAAACTGTGTATTTCTTAGTTAATGCTATCTCTTCTGAGTTATTCAGTAGAATTTACAGTTATAAAAGCACCTATCTATTTCTTTGCAGGATTTGTGTCTTTTATCAAGTTGCCTTTTACTGTCTGAGGTTATTTTCCTAAGCATTCACTTGACTTTTTTATAGACTCTTGTCTCTTTTCTTTCCTACTTAAATTTATTTTCTTACTTTTTTAATGCATGGCTTATATCACTATAGTATCTGAGCATTTTGCCTTCCTGCCTGCTACCTCTATGGCTTCTGCCTCTCTTCCTCAATGACTACTTCCCCAAGATATATACCATAGGTGAGTGGGACTCTTATTTGACCTCCATCTTCTATGCACTATGGAAAGCTGTTTAATAAATAATACAGTTTTTCAAAAGTTGAAGACATTTTGCATCTAAAATTTTGATTGGGCAAATATTTTCTCTTAGAATGAAGATTTACTTTCTTATAAGATGTTTTTGGCTCTTATTGGATCAATATTTGTATGCCATATATTGTTGTTTTTTAATTCCAGGTGGAGGTTTACATTTTATTTATGTATTTTTATATATGGACTCAGATTTCTTTGGTCGGTGAGTATGTTGGACAATCTTCAAGTTATGCTGAATTAAATGATAATAATTTCATTGCAGGAGTTGGTGCTTGGTGCTTTTCTCTAGTGTTTTTATTTAATTGTCTTAACAGAACTGGAAAAGTAGCTTTCAGTTATGCTTTGTCATAGAAATGCATTTATATTTTTTATTATAGAACCAGAAGGACTTGTTTGATATTTGCAATACATTATTCCCTACAGATCTATAGCACTCAAGCATATAAATTTCCCAGTGTCTTGTATGAATGTATCTGCATGTAATTCAGTTATTAAAGTATTATACTTATATATTACTTTTTGGTGGCTTAAAGAAAATGCTGAGATTAGATATAATTTATCATATAAATATATTAAAATTTGATGAAAATGTGCTATTATGGGAGATGTCATATCATTAAAATCTAATGTTTGTTGATAGGGTTGTATGGATAATTTTAAGGAAACAAGTAACTGAATATTTAAGTATAAGAAAAACCTTCCAATCTGAGTTAAACTAAGTAATCAAAATATCTTTCTGAAGCAACCATTTAGACAATAAAATTATGCTGATAAGAGCGCTCTGTATTACTCTATTTTTCTTTTTATTGTAGTCACCCTGGTTTTGGGATGTACGACAATGCTGGTATAATTATCCTTATCAGGTATCCATTTTCTTTAATAATATTTGTAGCAATGCTAATGTAGTAATGCTAATTTAATGTTTTTATATTGTTTTTATGGTGTTGTAAATTGTTGTACTCACATGATCGTGAGATGGGTGACATATAAATTAAATTAATACATAAATGCTGCTATAGGATAATTTGGTTTAGGTGCTATGGAGTTTGTGCTGACTATAAATACATTATTTCCAACCTTTTTTTTCCTAATAAAATTCTGAGCTAGCACTGTGTCACTGCAGCATTGATAGAGATAGTGAGCTTCATGATTAAAAAGATTTAACAAACCACCTATATTCATTTGCAAGATTTGTAGTTGCTGCTACTCCATTAAGTAGGGTATCATAAAGTATTACAGTATACCATGATGCTTGGGCACATTAATTTGGACATATTTAATTTTAAAATACATCTGGCTTATTATAGCAATAATTACAATAAATCTTTGGCTCAATACATCTTTTTAATTATTTCATTATTTTTTATTAATGAACTGTAGCAACACCAAAAATAAAGGTACATCAGTGATTCTATAGTGAAAAAGTGACATACATTACTGTGATTAAACTGAGCATAAATGAAGAAAAAGTAACTCCGTGTATGGTAGTCCTCAGTTAACAACCATTCGTTCAGTGACTGACAATATAATCCTGCTGACTGCAGTTGCAACCATTGCCGCATCTCCATGATGATGTGATCGCAATTTGGGAGCTTTTAACAGGGTGGCAATTGTGATGGGTGGCAGTGTCTTATAGACACATGTATGCCATTTGCGATCTTTACTGCTGATTTCTAATAAGCAAAGTCAAGAGAAAGCCAGCAGGAAATAGCAAATAATCGCAAATAAACTTTGACATTGCAAAGTTTAACAGCTTTTCGCGATTCGCTTAATTGGAACTGCTGCTGTAAGTTGGCACTTTATGGCAGCATTTCTTTGTAATGGAGTTTTTATTTTATTTATTTTATTTATTTTGTCAAGTGATTATAAGATAACAGGTATTTATTTTATTTATTTTGTCAAGTGATTATAAGATAACAGGTATAAGTATATACATAGTTATCAATACATGAAATGGATACATATAAAAGAAACAATAGGACAGGGACGGTAGGCGCGTTGTTGCACTTATGCTCGCCCCCTACAGACCTCTTAGGAAAGGGGTGAGGTCAATAGTAGATAGTTTAAGGTTAAAGTTTTTGGGGTTTGGAGAAGAAACCACAGAGTCAGGTAGAGTATTCCAGACATTGACCACTCTGTTGCTGAAATCGTATTTCCTGCTGTCAAGTTTGGTGTGGTTTACCTTGTGTTTGTATCTATTGTGTGCTCTTGTATTGTTGTGGTTGAAGCTGAAGTATTCATTGACAGGTAGGACATTGCAATATATAATTTTATATACTGTACTTAGATTGAACCGAAGGTGGCGTAGTTCTAGGTTTTCTAGGTCTAGAATTTCAAGTCTGGTGGCATAAGGTATTCTGCAACGATTAGAGGAGTGGAGAACTCTTCTTGTGAAATATTTCTGGACTTTCTCAACTGTATTAATATCAGATACATAAAGCGGGTTCCATATTGATGAGCTGTATTCAAGTATAGGTCTAGCAAATGTTTTGTATGCTCTAGTTAATAGTGTGATATTACCAGAGAAAAAGCTACGTAGGATTAGGTTAACAACTCTTAATGCCTTTTTGGCTATGTAGTTACAATGGGCTCTAGCACTTAGATCATTAGAAATGAATACTCCAAGGTCCTTGACAGAATTTGGATCATCAACAAGGTCTTGACTATTCTCCTTAGAGATGATCGGATCATCCAGAGAGCGGGTTGAGCTTCAGTCCCTGCAGTTGTAGGCTGAGCTTGATTTTTGAGGAATGCTCCTCCCACCATCACGTGGCTCCAGCGTAGCGTTCCCCAGTTTTGCTCAGCCTCGTGTGAGACTAGGCAGTAACTAGTGTTTGTCCTTGGCCGTTTCAAGAATTTCTTCGCTGATCCATTTTCTCCATTTCTTTTCAGGTTGTATTATTTTACTGTTTAATTTCTTAGCCCTGTGCAGTGGTCCGGACTTCTAAATTCCCCTGGGGAGCGTGGCTTGCTTGCCCCTGTGGGTGGCAAGGGGAGGGCTGGCAGTGTCTTCACGCCACCCCCCC